TTGCCAGAATAATCAGTGTACCCAGGCTAAAAGATAAGGGTATGAAAAATGCCAAGTCTTTATTTGGCAATGCCAGTTTATAGCTTAAATGCACAAACTTCAAGACAAGTCAGCTTTGTTCATATTTTTTTTTGAAGAAAGAAAGAAAGAAGCTGCCGCTGCCTTTCGTTACAGGCAAAACAGAGTCTGTGTAAAACAAAAGCTTTTGCGTTAAGTAGGCTTAAGCTAAACAAAGATGTGTTCTGGTTGGAGCCAACAAGTAAGCCTTGCCTATTAGAGAAAAATCAGTAAAAGAGTCCTTGGCAAATTTTAGACTGTTAATTACATGTTCTCTATACTTTTTATGGTTATCCCACCTAATTTATTCAATGCAAGACTAGATTGCATGGACTTGCTTTAAATTAATGCCCTCCTCAAGCAGCTCCCCTGTGGTCTGCCTGCCTACAATCCGAGACCCTGCAGCTTACCCAAGACAAACTGTCTTCAGAGATAAAACAGCCCATGGGCTCCATTAATAAGCTTCCTCTTTGCCCTAGCTATGGGGAAGCAATAGTTTTGGCTTCTGTCCCAGATGATAGCATGTGGAGAAAGCCTGCTGGTTAGAAAAAGCATGGAAAAGCTTGTTGACAATGCCATGGTAAGCTTAGCAGCTGGGAACCATGCAGCACGTGCAGAGGAGCCCTATGACAAACACTGTTCAAAGAGCAGAAAGATCACTCCTTGTCTAGCCTACCAATTTCAGGCATATACTTTATTCTGGCTGCAGGATAGCATTAAAGTAGAAGCTAAAGTTAGCAAAATGTATCCTGAAAAAGTCTGGTTTGCTCTTGTAAGCCTCTTAAAGAATAAATCTCTCTGAAATGTCATACTTTTCCTGTTCCAGCTCTGTAGAACTTTATGAATCACAGACATTCAAGATCCAAAGCTGGTTTCCATAAAATACGGCAAATTCTAAAACATCCTCCTGCGCTCAGTTAACTGGTGTGCTGGAATTCATCTGATCTGCCAAATATGTTGAGTGAAACGGAAGAAATAAAGCAGGCAGCAAGCCCTCTCTGGTTAGCCCTTTTTAAGCTGAGGGCTGGTGAACACCTGTAACAGAACTGTTTTGAGGGCAGGAAAAGATGATGATAGGTTGAGGAGGCTGAGAGGAGAAGAAATGCACTGAGAATAATGCAGTGTGTGTAAGAGCCAAGAATGAAATTAACAGGAGAAGAAGCCATTAGAGAAAGAGGTGTGCTCTAATAAGTAAAAGCAATCTGTTTAAGAGAGCCCTGAACAAACTGACTGGAGAAATCCTCACAGCATTCTGACGGTCTCCTGTTGACAGGTTACAGATCATTTTACTGATATCCAAAAGCTTAAAATTGTAGCAGTCAAAAACAAAAAAGCTGCAAAGCTTTATATTAGAATTGGAAAAAAGGCTGTTAGTACATTTCGTTTTCAAACGAAAATGCTGAAGAAGCCCCTGCTGCTGCTGTAATTTTGGATAGAAACACATGACACAGGAACAGAGTCAGTATCAGAAGCTACAAAACATCTTCCATAACAAAATGAATAAATATATGATTGGCATGTTCCAGCCTGAGACCCCGTCTCTGTGAAACCTTTACCTCTAGAATTCATAGCAACAAACAGCTAAGCAACAGGATCCTGCACTCCACTCAAGGGCATACTTTGCTAGAGGTGGTAGTCCCATCAGCTGTGAGAGGACTTGCTGCTGATCACTGGGTTGTTCACAGGAAAGAGAACTGCATGTTCCTCAAGGTTTGCTGAAGTAAGGAAGTGCTTAGGGAAAGTTATAGCTAATATGACAGTGGTTACACTTAGCAGTTCCCTAGATAGACCAGATAAAGGACTCATCTAATATCACTATGCTTTGAGCAGATCACAGAGGTTACAGTGGCATTAAATTTGCAGAGGACTTCTCAACAATATCCCTAAAAAGTACACAACTTGTAGCTCTTCTGTCAAGCTCATTCTGATGTTCTCAGTTGTGCTTCATCCTTGTTCCACTTTCCTTCTCTGCCACTATTCCAGTCAAGCCAATTATGAAAAAACTGCCCTTGAGTCCTGCATGGTTCAAAGCATTTGAGTACTTACACAGAGATGCAGACTTGTGGACTGAAGGGAACAACTACTGGACATCTAGAAACAGATTTAGCACAGAACTATCCCAATCATATATTTCTTGGTAAGCATGACAGAATGAAAACCAAAATAGGTAGAAGGAAAAATGGCTGCACATTGGCATGTTGACATGCAAAAGCATAGTTTAAAGAGGTCTTCATGCAACAGCATGCAAAAACAAATACAGCAGCAGAGGAGGAAGTAAGAGTTTCAGCAAAGAATGCAGAAGATCCAGGCAAATGCAACTGAAATAAGCTTCAAGTTCATACAAACCTCCAACATTAAATTGCTATGCCTGATATAAATGTTTTCACCATCTAGTTTCTTTGATCTTTTCTGTGAAAACGAAAGAAAGGGGGAAACAAAACAAAAAAAAGAAAAGCACAAAAAATTAAAATGCTGTTCTTGCGGGATTCGCAAATTGGCAAATTAAAAAGTTAAATAAACATTTGGAGCGCAGCATTGTGCCAGTATGAGATGGGCCATGAAACCACAAAAACGTGATACAAGTCACCACCAAGAAATGGAGGACCTCATTCATGAACAGTGGAAGGATGAGATGAGTTTCATTTAAAGAGACAGTTCCCAGAGTTTCATTGGCTTATTTGCATTGCTACCACAAAGTCATTTTACTCCCTGCAAAGAAACATTCCAACATTTTCCTTCGGAAGATTTCCAATGATTATACATCTTCCTGACAATGAAGTGTGCCTCATAGTACTACAGTATATTCAATGATGTGACAAGTCTATTTTTTCTAGGGCTTCAAAGCCTTTAAAAAAGCATTTTATTAAAATGCACACAGTAATAAATTGGCTTGACCTTTAACTTTTTACATAGTTCCCCTGTCCACCAATCTGCAAAAATATGCATTCTTAACTTGCTGCATTTCCCAGGGTGCACATTTTAACACTGTCTTTGGCCAGTTACTAGATTTGTTTTATACATAAAAGTGAAATAACAGTTATAATAGCATGACTTTTCTTCGTTTTTAAGAAATTCTTCAACTTACAGAGCTTTAAATGTCTTAGTTTGGCATTGGGAAAAACATCTGAATAATTCTGAAATCAAATAGTATCAGATATCTTTGGAATAAAAAAAAAAAAAAAAGCCAAAGCACAAGAAGAAATTGGACCACTGTCTTTTTAAACATGTTAAATATGCATGAATGATATAGCAAGTCTGCTTGATGAAAGCATAAAATGGCTAACCTTCCTCATTCTTATCAGTTCTTCCTCTTTTTCTGCAGGCTGCTGTTTTGCAGTGATAAAAACAAAAAAAAAAATGTTGGTTCATTAAATTATGCTGAACCTTCATTTTATATAAGCTTCTTTAAAAAAAAAAAAAAGGAAAAAATATGAATAACCTAACTGGTAATTATCAGCACAAACCTGGAGTTGGTCACCATTTGTAGTAGGTACTGTGACCTCGATGTGCGCTTTCCCCACCTACATTTAAGACAAAGTGGTAAAAACATTTCTTGTTAATAGATTTTTTGAAGACAACTCTGTTTCAAAACACAGCTGAATTAAGTTGGTTTTGAAATGTTGTGTGAACATGCAGTAACCAACATGCAGTCTTCTGAATGGTGTTAGCAAGGGATAATGTAAGCAATACCAACACAGGCTGTTACTCTACGATGACTTTTCTAAAACTGAAAAGTATTTTTTTACACTGATGCTTTGATTCAATGTTCTCTGGGGGCCTTTGGTTTTTCCACCAAAGACAGATATCTTGTTTTAAAAATATTCTTGTGTTAGGGTCCTCCAAGTTTCTACAAATGAGATACCATAATGACATCTCATTGTTAAAAGGAACATGTTCATATTAATGGACCCAGAATCTTTTAAAGACGGAAACTAAATGTGTGCTACTTAAAGCTGCAAACGTACATATTAACAATATGCATTAGCCAAGTGCTCTACCAACAACACAGGGTTTGACAGCACCGGAATGACTTCAAACCTTTTGTTCTTCATAGCTGCAGAGCTTAAAGTGTCAATTTAAAAGTTTTTTAAAGTTAATGGGAGCTGGCCAACCAAATCTTTTAGGCAGCATAGAAAATCATAGCCTTTGTGGTAACATGCTTATATCCAATGGCCAAGCTAAAGAGCAAGTTATTCAACACCTCCACTTGGTCTTATCACTGAAGTACATTTAGAAAGGCCAACTCAATGGTCCAGTTGAAGTTGGAATCTTGCCCACAATGAAGGAAGGATGCTTAAATGGGACAGACTACTAAGGCAATGAAAAATCCTCAGCAACTGGCCACCAGCGGGCAAAAAAGGGTGACGTGCAAGGATAAAGAGAGAGACTTGAGTTACCCATATACAATTGAACTATAGATTGAATTGTGGCAGCTTCTGCAATGCAAAACTTTTTATACTATGCACCTTTCAAAGCTAATACTGTTAACTACTGTAGGGAAAAAGAATCAGTGCCTGATTCAATCAGGGACTGGCTGGATGGAAGTTATTCTTTATTTAGCCCTTCTGTGGGGCTAAGACATTCTAAAAATTTTGGATAGGCAGTATTTCAGTATCTGCAAGCTTACAGTTATACCTGTTGTATGCTCAAGCTGCTTAGAGCTCTTGGCTGCTCTGTAATGATGTTCACAAACTGGCATTTTTATAGTCAGTGCTATCCTAAATTCAAGTGTGAATTACCAAAGTTGGTTTATGTTAGTCAACTAGAGGCACTAGATCAGCAGTTCCCAATCTGTGGTATGCGTACGACCAGTGGTAAGCAAGTGACCTGTCAGTGGTATGCATTAATAGTTTTATTATAATTACTTTATATGACAAAAATTTGCTGGTGGTACTTACGGTTGAACTGAAAAATTTGCTGGTTTTAAATTGGTGGTGTGCAATCTGTCAGAGTTTGGGAACTGCTGCACTAGATAATTAAATGATCTGTTTCCCTCATGTTGTGTGCTTTCATACACATGAACATTGGCAGAGGGAACGTAAAAGTGAAGGAAATGTACTAGAATAGACCATGTCTTATTGTCTTAATGAGCCTACAGAGTGCTGAATTTGGCCCTAAATCTCCAGAATCCCACAATTTTCTCCAACTAAAAGAAACTTTTTTCATCATGGCAGTTATTTCTCAAAAATTGAAAATTAAGGCTTCTTGGCTTGTTTGGATAATGTTGGACGATACTGGACAGTTTTTCTCCATTCTGCTGTTGTGCTTATTTCATACAAATATATTCCATACGACAGGTCCATTCTTCCACCATGCAACACTTCCTCTGCATACAGTGGAATATCATATAAAAAGTATGACTCAATAATGCTTGAATATTTGGAGTGACTGAAAGCAAACTTAACATATATCAGGAATGAACAAATCACTCTACCACTTCATATACAAATCCTCATCCAAAATACAATTTTAAAATATTCAGAATGTTGTAAAAAGAACAGTAACTCTTCATACATGATCATGCCTTAATTTTTTTTTTAAGCACAGAAACTTTATACAGAATACTCTCAGGTATTTACACTTTTTCCAAATATTTTTAAGTCCCATTTTCATATTAAACCCAAAGTCTGAACAGTTTTGAACAGTTTAGTCCATATGCAAGCTCGGCATAAATGCATTACCAGTTCTCTAAGGGAAACAAATCAATTAAAACACCACTTTACAATACAAACACTGGCAGACTGGGACAGATTCTGCTCTCGTGTTAGTGTAAATCATGTACTTCAGAAGAACTGTTCCTATAATCACACCAACATATAGCTGATATAGCTTAGTGACAAATGATCCCTAAATTTAACATCCACAAATATTATTCCAATTGTGCAACTATGTTCTCAGTAAAATGTGTGTTTTTTGTGGTGATCACCAGATAACAATTTGTCCTGGAGCTCATCCTACTTCTCTAGATAAGTGTTATGAAATGTTTTTGTAGTACATGTTCTACCATTTTTGGGACATCTTGAAATTCAAGGAAGATATTTCTCCTAGAACCAGAGCTAACTGGCTAATAGGGATCCCATTCCCAGTTCATTGCCTACAAAAGGGGACACATTCTGTTCATTCCCTTCAAAATGAAGCATAACCACTTTGAGACCATTTTGGAGACAATATTTTGTATCAGGGATATCCAATTTCTGGAAAGTTGCGGGAGAGGCCACATACCAAGCAGGTCATAGATCCCCAGGCTGCACACTGCATGGACCACAGACCACTAAGCTTCCCCACCCCCTGGCATGGACCACAGACACCTCCCAGCACTTTCCCGCACTGTATACACAGCCCAGGCAGTTTGGATCTCCTCTTCAGCGTGTATGGTGTGAGCAGCACAGATTCACTCTTACAGCATAGGCAGCCCAGAATTCCCCCTGCCATATCTGCAGCATCCTCCACCACCCAGCCTCACCTGCCCTGTCCCCAGGAGGCCTTGGATGGCCTTGTTCTAGAAGAAGCAAAAGACACCTATGGTCATCTCAAAAAAGTGCTAGATGGCTAACATCTGGTATTAACATACCTTGGTCACTTCAGCTGGCTCCATCTTGTCCTTGTCAGATGGCATTTCTTCATGTTTGACTTCAGTTTTTGCAGCTTCCTTCTCTTTTTTAGAAACAACCTCCATTTCCTTGAAGGCAGATGCAGCTGGTGGGGTTGGTTCAGCTACATGGCTCTGAGCAATAGCTGGTGCAGAAGTGGGTCGTGGGCTTCGGTCAGGTGTAATCACTGCTGCTGCTGAAGTGGGGAAGAAAGAGACAGTTGTGACAAGGTTCAGAATGTAAAATGTCTTCCCAAACCCCCATGAAAGTCTTCCCAAATTACAGCAGTGTAGTTCAAAAAAAATATTAAGCAAAGCAGCTTGTGCATTTAGTGCAGGAAAAGTGAGGTTATTTTCCCTATTTTTAATAGGTATTACAGAAAGCAAAAAGTAAGCTCGCACTCTGCAAAGAAGCCATACCAGAAAAACTAATCTATTTGTAACACTGCGCAGTCAGGCTCTGGATCTTTCAAACATCAGTACAAAGTTCATCACTATGAAGTCACTCATATACAAATGCATTTGTAACTATTGGCCTTCATTAACTTCACTGGGATATCCCCAAGTAGAACCTTGGGGTTTCTTGACCACAGAAATTTTGGGGGAGGATTCATCTGTAGATTTGTGCATTTTGGTTTTTTTTACCAATTCAAAACAAACAGATATTTCCCCAAAACACTTATGGGTAAGCAACAGCTTCCAGGTGGCTTTCAAAGCAAACTTCCGCATTGTTTCTGAGATGGATTCCCCCTGGCACAGCAAGATGCACTGTAAAGAAAAAATACTCATCCTTTCCAAACTAATGGAGGTTGCAGAAACAAAACATTCCTGAAAAGCATCTTTCAAACAAGGATAAATTTCCAATAAAAGCATCAGCTAAGCAAGGAATCCACTGCTCCCATACATGTTACACATTTTCTGATATCAGAGAAGATTCCAAGTTTCTACAGCTCCTGACAGAGATGATGGACAAAGTGACCCTTTGCGTCAAAACCAACATGATATCAATTCACTAAGTTATGTCTGTCTCTGCAATAAATTATTTCATTTTTCGAAAACAGTGATATTTAAGGCTATTCCATTAAACCTATTTCTACTATTTGGAATAAATTCAGATTTATAGGAGCTCATATGTATGGAGAAGATCAAGCACTTCTTTATAGAGGTGCACCAATACATTAATCCCGTATTAGATCGGCACCGACAGACAGAAAATTGACAGTATTGGCAATCGGCTTTTTTTGGCCGATGTGGTTGATAACGTCGCCAATAAATGCCGCATGCATGTGTGCAGCCAGGAGCTCAGCCTGGCAGCATGGAGAACAGCTGGGTCCGGCTGGTAAGTCTGTTGTGAGGGAAGGGGTGGCATATCAAGGCCCCAGCAGTGAGGGAGGGAGTGGGCTGGGTGCAAAAGAGCCACAAATGGCTTGTCCAGGGGAAGGGGGTTGCAGCTCCCTCCACTGAGCACACCCCAGGAGGGCATGGAGGGTATGCGCCCCCAGATCTTTGTGCTGGGTGAGGGCGGGCTGCCATTGCAGGCTGTGGCAGTGCCAGGCTCTTCCCAGTGTGGGGAGGTTGAATTGGGCTGCACCTGAAGCAGGAGGTGGCAGTGCTGGGAGGGGGGCTATGGCAAATTTTGCGGTGGCTGCAGTCGCCCCCCCCCCCCACAATAGCCGCATAGCTGAGAAGAGCCTGGCACCGCTCCCAGCTCCAGCAGCAGCTCACCCTGTGCACAGCAGCCCACCCTTGCTCCTTCCCCCACAACAGACTTACCAGTCAGATGCTGCCTCCACGCTGCCTGGCTGCATAGAAGCAATCAGATCAGCATCAACCGATATGGCTCGTTAAAAATTGGCCATCCATATTGGCCCAAAAAATCTATCAGTGCACCCCTACTTCTTTCGGTAGGAAAAAAAGCACTGAGAACTTATCCCAGCTAATGTTTTTATAACAGCCCATCCAACCACATAAGACATGAACAATTTTCAGATTTAACAATCAGATTCCATATTTTTTCTCTCCTCCCAAATTCCACATTTTGCCTCTGTCACAAGAGGTATCAATTGCTTTTTCTTATGTAAAAAAAATAAAATGTTCAGAAGCATAGTATTTGCCTTGGTCAAGTACATACTATAACAACATAAAAATGCAAGAAATGTGCAAAACAAGCTCCCTCATCAAGAGCTAAACATACGTTCACGAGAACACAAACTCGTAATTACTAAGGTTTACCAAAATTTTCAGACTCCTGCTTAAGTTCTCAAGGTAGGTCACTTTTCTAAGAACGTTTCTCCCATACTTCAAAAAAGCAGTGCATTGTACTGAGCTTGACTATTCTGGCATCCATAGCACACAACCTCTTTTACTGCTGTTGCCACAAAAGTGGTAATGAATGCTGGAGAATCTGTCTATGGCAAATGACAGACAGCAAATTCACGTTTAAAATGATGTTAACCACACAGGTGGGAGAAGCCATCACAGCTGTACCTGGCTCCTTTTGGACTGATTCCAAAAATTTGGGTTCTGATTCTAGATCTTTGTTCATCAAAATTTTCTCCTCTTCCTTCTCCTCTTCTTCTATGAGGCTTATCTCAATACTTTCAAGAACACTTGCAGCTAAAAAAAGTTAGGCATACATTAAAATGCCACCGCAAAAAAATTCATGATAAAGGTAAAAGGGTACCAGGAGTTAACTTGCAAGAACCATGTCTCTTTATGGATTTAAATATCAGTCCATAAAGTTAAGATGCTTGAGAACATCAAAGGTTCTGATTAATTCTGTTGCATAGATACCGATTACTTTCTAAATTAATGATTATTTTAATCACTTGACTTTATTGGTTACACCATCTAAAATGGATTTCTGTACCTCAAATTGATAAATGAATCCTTAATACCCAAAACAAACATGGGGCATCTATGCAAGACATTTACTGCGAAGTTGCCCAATTAGCTCCAAATTAAATGTCTCGGTGTCTACATGTGCAGCTCTATTAGCCCACAGAAAACTAATAAACTCTGCAGTACTATCCTGCTGCAGGGTTTTTTCATGTGCAGCAATGCACATGTAGACACTGACCCAGCTGGCTGGGGCACAAGGGTGCTTCAGTGCAGAAGCTGCCTGCCACCTAGCCCCGCACTGAAGCACCTTCATGCCACAGCCAACACCTCCGCAGTACACTGAGCCAAGTCAGAGCAGCCCCAGGATGGCAGGCTGACCCCCCTGCCAGCTGCTCTGGCCTGGCTCAATGTGCTGTGGTCCTAGGTGCACGTGAAAATGTGGCACCCAGGAGCAATAAACTCTGGCACGATATGCACCAGAGTTTAATGCTTCACCTTAATATGCATGTGTAGATCCATCAAGGATGATGAAGCAGTGCTCAAATTACTTCAGTGGTTAGCTACATAAAACAGTTCAGTGACCTGTACCATTAACTGCGTGTACTTAAGTGTCTGAGAGGTAATATGCTCATAGTCCATGCAACAAGAAATGTGTGAAGAAACATTATGCTTGGCCAATACCACGTAAGTGAAATTTGAGATGTATGACACTACTACTGTGGACCACAGAAGCACGTGTGCTGGATTACCAAAAGTGTCGAGGAAATGGCTACTTTGGAAAGAAAGACTGGCTCATGGAAGAAGAGAGATGTTTTCCTTACAAAAGGGAAGGAGCAGCTCTGATAACACAGATAACCTTGGACCATCTGTCTGGGACACAGAGCTAAGCAGACCGCAAGTACAAGACTGAAGTTATGCTTGCCATGCTGCAACAGGAATATTGGAACATTATATAATACAGTACAGGGACTGGCAAACTACAGTCCATGGGTTGCATCTGGCCCACAGAGCCTTTGGATCTGACCTATGGAGCTAAGGCTCGGGGGGCATTTGGTGGAGGGGGAGCTTTTGCAGCTGGGCAACAGAGAGAAGTACCTGAGATGGCCAGGTCCTAGTCCTTGCCCGCCTCAGACCCAAGTTGGGTTACTCTGGCCCCTGCCAAAAAACATTACCAGTCCCTGATATAGTATAGGGCTTGTACTTTTCTCTGACATTCCAGAACATGATATTTTAGTTATTTTTCCCCCCAAGATGTTAGCCTCCCAACTTCTGTTATTATCAATAAGTCACCACAACTCCACTGGTCTTATCTAAAGCAGTGGAGTGTCTTGGAAGGAATATATGACTTTAGAAGAAGCAGGATCTGCAATGAACAAGTATTGTGTGATGGAAAAAAAGAGGCCACAATCTACCCCCACAAACTGTACTGCATGACAAATGCCACTGGCTTAAAAGCGTAACTTGAAAACGTACCTTCCTATTAGGCTTCCTGGGAATTACTGTTATGAAAATGGACAACAGTGGAGCATGTTAAGAAGGTGCTACCCTGGTAAAGGCTGCTATTAGTTCTGACAGTACATGTAACAAAGAGAACTGCTAAATCATTGCTGTCAGATATTTTGCCTATTTTTATAGAGGATCTTCACCTCATTAAAGTGGTCTAATCGCTAACTGTGCTTGATATGGCAAAACAGAATCTAGGGTACTTGTGAAGTTTACTCTGATTTAAATGGAGTTAATACCACTGCAAAAATACAAGCAATTTTCTATGGAGCTTCAGAAGTTCACAGCACTGCTTATATGCAAACAAAAGCTGTGCCAATATGTTGAGTACCACAGCAGACAATGTTAGCCACACTAGTATAAGAAGCCACCACAGCTGTACCTGGCTGTTTCTGGAATGGTTCCATTATTTTTACTTCTGAAACAGGAAATTTAAGCACCTCCAATCTCTCTTCCTCCTCTTCCTCTGCAATGGGTTTCATCTCAAAAATTTCAAATGTATGTTTGGCTACAAAAAGTTTTGCATACATTAATATACCACCTGGAAGACTGCAGGGAAATGCATCAGTCACTAATGACAAAATGAAGAACACCAATGGCTACATCTGAAAACAGCCAGCACTACAATCACCTCTCCTAAGCTGCTATATGTCATACTTTTGATATAGTTCTGTATTGTGTTTACATACCATAGTAGTCCTAACACTGGTCCTAGCAGCATGCTGTATCATTACACAGGATTTCAGTGGTAACAAAAAGGTGAAAAAGAGCCTCATGAGAGGGCTTGGGCAGAAAAGTACATTAAACAGGGTGAAAGAACTAAGAATTACTGCTTTAACCTAGGATAGGGCCAGCTCAGAGGCCTAAGGTACCAAAGTCTACCCAAAGAACCTTGTCTGCTTATGTCCTTAGACCAACACAGCTACAACCAACAACCCTGAAGTCAGACTTGTGCACCGATAGTTGTTCTGGTGTCTTAGCTGCTAGTCACCTGCAATGCTTTGTGATTTATATCAGTGTTCCATTCTTCAGGAGCTTGCAATGCTGGGTACAAAGAACATGTTGAAGAGGGTGAGGAAGTCTGGCCTGTATCATGCTCTCCAGTTTAGAAAAGGTATTGATAAATCAATTCTATATAATTTTGATCAGAAAAGTGAGGGCTGCAATATTAGGGTGTTAAAGTAAATTGGCATGGGAGAGCAGGATAGCACTAGTCAAACAGAGATATTGGCACATAACTCTTTCCAGCTAGCACATGTCAGAAGTACTCATTACAAGATAAATAGTTACCTGTTAATGAAAGTAAACAGGGCAAATATTTGACAACATTGATGTAAACACATATTAGTACTACAAGATGCACAGATTTATAACCATCTAAACTTCACTTCACTATGAAAACAAGCTAAAAAGATGGTATTTATACAACTACACGCATGTAAAGAAAAATATTTGAAACAATTACATTGATCTTTCCCTCAAAGTAAAATTTCTGTCTAACAAAGGGTAATTAGACAACTCTACTGCAACACCTCTCAACACTTAAGGACATATAACTATCCTAGCCTGTCTGCTGGATAGCTGTAAAAACTCATCTTGCAAAGAAATGAAAAAAAGGAAGCTGCAAGAGTTCACAAAATGTTTCAGGGCCGTCAAGAAGAAGCACGTAAAGGCATCTCAGTAGGGAAAGGATAGGAAAGGCACTGCAGAGTCATAGCCACCACAGCTATACCTGGCTTTTCTTGGAATTGTTCCACGGGTTTTGATTCTGGAACCTCAACCATCACCACCTCCTCCTGCTTCTCCTCCTCTACAGGTCTGAATTCAATTTTTTGGGTCGTACGTTTAGCTGAAGAAATTGTGCATATGTTAACAAGCTACCTACATGGTGCATAGGAAAAGGCTGAAGACTTCAATTGGACAGAAGTGATGTATTAGCTGTTTTAAATTTTTCAAGGTCTGACATTCAAGTCTAACTTGATTTCCACTACAGCAAGTGCCCACAGACTTCAAATGAACTGTCAGTCCATCTGCTACTGAAGAAGTGTCAAAACTTAGTAGAAGCACAAAATCAATTACCAGCACTGGAATGCCAGATGTAGACCAGGAACACAAGGCAAGATTTGTCCTAGTGGTTTGTATAGGCTACATAGGAGGCTAAATGTGTTGTTTTCCTTTTGGCTTTGGGTGGTAATGGGACAAGCTGAAACAGTTTTTTGAGGAAGTTTTTGCATCTTTGGGTATTCTCATAGCCACGTTCTTTCAAAATTAAACACACAAAATTATGGGGGAAAAGGGTGCTGCTACAGCATATTATAATACATTTTCATAATGATTGTTTAAATACCTTCCCTCAAATTTTAGGAACAGCATCAGTGTTGAACAGCAATTTAAACTGACAAGATTCTTTTTAATGTCTCTTATTTGTAAGTTCCAAGTAGTGCCAAATACATTAATTAGTTTAAGTTTTGTAAATTTCAGAATGAAAACAAAATTTCTATTAACCTGTGAATTTTGAATCAGGACTGCCCAAATTAGGCAAATGCACTGTGCCTTACTATAATTAAAGTTCCTGAAATGTTTTTCATAGTATATCTCAGTTTTAGATTCTTCAGATCGGCTTCTCTTCCTTAGACAAAATGGGTACAAATTCTCACCCTACAGAGTGATATTCTACTGAAACCCACTAGATTGATTTCATTCATGGCAATGTGACAAGGGGAGAAATATTAGTCACTAACCTCCATCAAGGCTTCTGGAGGCCCGCTTGCTTGCTGTTCGTTCAAACTGTGGTGCGGGTCTATCAATCAAGGCGCTAGCCTGTCTTGTCTGGGCCTGTGTTCGTCCACTGTAACGGAATTTAGATCCCAGCGCCAGGAACCTGCTCTTGGGAATGGCTTCAGTAGAATTTAGCCTGAAAAGACATACACATACATTAATCTTGTATCTTCAAACCCAAGGAACTCATAATACATAAAGCAGAAGTAAAAAGAAATCTGGGGAGCAGAACAACACACCTTTCCATATGGTCTATTAACATAATATACGAATCAATAGCACCACCACGCTTAAGACCATTTCAATATGAAGTCTTCAATTAAGGTTAGTGCTATTATTAATTTAATTTCCTTTTATTCATTTTCTCTCCTCAGTTATGTCAATCCCCATTGAAAGTGTCAATTCATAAGGTCACATACCAATATAAATCATTCAAAATGATGCTGTAAGAATTGCTGTGTTCAATACAAGCATGGACCTATACTCCTCCAGGTTTTTTTCCCCCAACTTTAGTCTCTATTTTACTGAAGAATCTCTTATTTGAACGAAACCATGTGTAGGGACAGGAATTAAACACTATGTGGAAAAATACCCAATAAAATTCATAATAAATATGCCAGTTAAGAATTTGGTAGGCTGTCCTTCAGGTCCCATTTTTTTACGGTAATTAAGTAAAGATGTTACGCTTTTGCTGTCCTATTTTAGATCACTGCATTTTGACAGATTCCCTAAGTTATTATCTCAGTGGTTAATTATTAATTTACTAGTATGATTTATTCTAGGAATCCAGATGAAAGTCCCATTCTCTCTCCAAACACACTTCACATTCTTGTGTAACACTTGATCTTCTTAAAGTGCTCTGAAGGAGAGACACACACAGCATTCACTTGCAAAGGAATTACAGATGCAGAAACTTAAAATCAGTATTGCTTTAGAGAAGATCTCATGTTTGATGAAAAGGAGACATACAGGTTAAGGAAAGAATACCTGAAAAACGTGTGATGTTCAACACAGACTTTCCACAGCTTCTTAGCTGCCCGATAACTAGGCAGTTTAAACCCAATAGTACTTTCATATTGTTCCTGCTATGGAAAACAGTAAAACAGAATATTTAATTATAGCGATAGGTAATATATGGAGAAGATCACCTGCATAGAACCTGTGGAACATACCCAGATAAAACCACCCAGGCAGGAACCATCCACAAACCCAGTAAATATCTTAATGCCTTTGGTGGGTGTTATATTTATCATACAATTAATGCATTAATTACACAATAGATTGCAACAGGCCACACATACAAGCTATTTAGGACACCATAAAATGCTAAACCAGCCACAAAAGTGTCCCAGGGGGTTGGCTTGTATTGCGCTATATTTTGAACAGTGCCATGCAGGCATCCAGGAGTGGCATGTGCAGCCCAGCTGCAGATACATCCTTTGAATACGGCAGGCTGCAGGGAGCCATCAGCATGCTCAAAGGGCAGCACATGCAGCTGGGCTGCACACCTGCTTTTAAGCTCCTGCGGCATGAACTCCACACTTAGGAACCTCTCCCCAGTGTTGGGTTCACAGGAACTTAAAAAAGCAGGATTCTAGGCCAGCATGGGGAAACTGATTTTCCCCGTCTGGGCTGCATGGTGTGCCTTTCAAGTTGCTGGAGATGAGGAGCCTAGCATCAGGGACCAGATCTCAGTATTGAGTTCACCCCTGCAGTTGTATCATTAGAAATCAGATACATTTTATCCCCAATGCCCAAAATGACACATCCTAGCACGCACATCTGGTATGGAAGAAAGTACCATTTTTGGAACTGGGGATAAAATCCTTCTAATCCCAAATGTGGACTTATATTAACAACTTCTGGGGGCCTACAATGAAAAAAGACCTGCAAAAAGGGAACAAACCCATCTATATGGAGTTGACTTCTGCAGCAGCTGTGACTACCCCCAACCTATGCATTAAAGCTCCAGGATTGCTTCTAAAGAGGGATTTTCATAAGAGAAGGCTAAAGAGATGATGCATAGCTTATGATGGCTATCATGTCTAGGGGATTTTGTCCATCATTTTGTCCATCATGGACTTATTCCTTTTCTGTCTATGCTGTATTGATGAGAGGTGGGAATAAGGGAGGGAAGAAAGGGGAACTCCACTGCAGAGACCCACGTTCCTATTTCTATTCAGGAAAGAGATCTGAGCACACACCCATACAAATAGAAGAGCACAACTTGGCCCAGCATAAAAAATATTGCTACCTACTTATTTTAGTCTATAACAGTACAATATTCTGAAGGGTCAATGGTCATCTGAGGGCTGGTGAAATGCACATCTAACTTGCTTTTTGTGATGATAAAAACTTAGTCCATTCCTTGCCACTTTGAAGTTACGTTTCAAAATAACATCAGAAAGATCAAAATGTCTTGCTTTATTTGGATTATAAAAACATATGAGAATCTAATTTACACGTTCATCAAGGATCTGAAAAGCACTGAGCTAACTGGGAATTTTGCAACAAAATACTGTTCCATCAAAAAAAGATTTCTCAGGATGGAAAAAAGTGAGGGGGAGAGGGAGAATATTCCTTCCCCCTACTTTCCACCCCATTCTCAGCATTTAGGATATTCACATGCTATATACTAGAAATTCAGCTTCAAGTATATGCGCTGTCTGATTCAGACCACAGACTTGAACCTCAGTTCTTCCACAGCCCAGGTAGCGAAAGCCCCAAACACTGGCCTAGTAGCTATTTTTGGAGTCTGTGAAAGAGACATGCCTTTTTCTGTGAAAAATATTCAACAGATCTTTGCTTTATCCTGGTGCTGACTGGGAAAGCATTTTTTTTTTTTAAACCATGAAAATCATCACAAGATAGGAAAACCATTCCCCAGCCAACATGTACTTGGCTTGTTTGGGCAAACTGTGCTGGTTAGAAAATGTTAACTTCAGCATACCATACTCTGCAAGTAGGTGGCACTACATACAATACAATTTAAAATTCAAATAATATTTTATAGCCTTAAACAGGTCCACTGACTTTACAGTATAAACAAGCTATAATAACGCTGAAAAAGTAAGTAAGAAATACTAGTTAAAATGAAAACCACAATTGTTCTATCATACACTGAGGAACAGAACTAGCTTTACTCATAATACTTCTCTATTCTTCTGGTAAAACTAAAACTATGTTCTTATATGTAACAAGTAGAAGAAAGGAAAAAAAAAAAAAAAAGCTTGGGCTATACCTCCCCTGGCCGAATCTTAATAAAAAAGCTGCTGCGTTTGTAGGAAATCTTCAGAACTTTGGGCCAAGGGAAGCGGTTGATTCTCAGTTTATCTTTGTAGACATGAAGGCCACTAGAACAGACTCCTAGAGTGATGTCTACTCCCTCCAAATCCTAAGAAAGCAAATAAAGATTCAAACATATAACTGTGTTGGAGTTATAAGCCTCAACAATTTATCATCACACAATATTTGTCCTCTAAAAACACTACTTTTGTTTGTTTTCCTTAATCCTACCTGAATTAGTCTCCATCCCTCATGGTCAGAACAACCTCCAGCTTTCCATGTGACCAAGGCCGACATTTTTTCTTCATATCGCTCCTTACATTCTCCTCCTTTTCTCAAAATGCTCTCTGATCTCTTACAGTTTATATTGCATGCCTCTGACTTCTGCAAATACCTTACTTTGCAGGATCATAACATCTTAGTAGGTTCTCCAAACCAAAGACCTGTCTACTTCAATACATTTGTAATGAGCTTCCTATAGTATATAAATAACAAGCAAAGCTGGAGGAATTGTTTCTTCTGCAATGTTTGTAGAACAATAATGCACACAAGCAATATCTATCGTTCATTTGCATTTCTATAAATGACAACTAGCTGGCTGCCTGCCTAAATCTTTTAGCAGGAATATTATGGCCCAACTGACACCCACTAGAAAGAAAACAGAATACTACAGAAATAAATGTTAATTCTTACCTTAGCTTGGTGAAGATCAACTCCATACATTGACAGCTTTTTTGCATTATCAAGAAATTCCAGGTCTGCTTGGGCTGGAGTCATGGATCTGGAGAAAGAAAGACAATAGTTTCAGTATTACTGACAACAAAGTCTGTTTTTTAAAGTAATCGCTTATTAAACCAATTAACTGTTGGGCTCTTGATTGCTGCACTCTCGTAAACTCAGGAGACAAGTTATGCCTACAGAAGAATCTCTCACACTTTTTGCCCTTTGGATCTAATGTTTATGAAGATGTTTCATTATTTATGCCTATGAAGGGGAACACAGATGTCAAAGCAGCAATATCTACCCATCTCAGCATTGATTCCCCAAGAAAATCTCTCTTGGAAAAAAAATGAACATATTAAGTTTTGTGAAGGCATAGAGTGAACTGCAGAATCCTCTTAACTGCTTTACCTCAATACATTTTAGAATCCAGCTGTTGTTCTGAGAATTAAATGGAAGGGCAGCTGAAATCACTTAATAGGAGTCTCCTATTAGGAACAGCCTAGATGAATGAGACATTTTCCGGGAACAGATGGTGTCCTGTCCACCGGAGAGGCAATACAATGCAACTTTGGCTAACAGAAACATCCTGATAATAGGGCCATTTTCAATGTTATTGAAGTTCTTGCTAATAGGCTTCTATTGTGCCAATTCTGTGCAAATGCTGCACTGGAACAGTTAATTTATGTATGTTTCATTTTGCTCACTTCTTCCATGTCTTGCTTACAACGCTTTATATAAAAATATCAACCCTAGGGTACAGTGACCAAAAGAAAATTTAATATTGTGGCTGTAATCCTTTAAATGGAAGAACAAGGCCACAACTTCTCTCTCATAAACGAAGACTGCATAGTTCAAATAAACATGGCCACAAGACCACGTTTAACGTTGAAATCTTTACTTAAAGCCATCTGATGTTCAAAGTTCAAAGTATTCATAAATTAACATATTCATCTATGCAAGGAGAAGTCTTTATAATTCAACACATTTAAAGATGTATGTTATTTCTGCTCTCACTTAATGAATTTGATGGGGGGGGTTCATATGAATTGGCTATTTTGTTTTAATGGAATACAGCAGTCAAATAAATCACTCGGCAATATTAGCTGCATGTTCTATCAAGGACAATGCCCTTTGACTTCTGGTCCTGAAGTATTGAGCAACTGACAAGCTTATATTCCTCACTTCCTCTCCCCTTCATTACAAACAGGGAGGAAATCAATTTAAAATACTGAATCAAGAGTCTGAATGTAAGGTGTTAATTATAGCTTTGATATCACCCAGAGACCAAAAATCCACCAATGCAGGCTACAATTACTAATATTATTAGTTTGTATTTGCCCTGGAGAGAGTTTCACTTTGCTTTTGGTTTTCTGTAGTCATTATTAATGTGACACAGCTGGCAGCTTTTGTCAGGTCAGAAGGTTATAGGCTGAAGACTCAGACCAGGACATAGAATCATCCCCCCATGCCCTCTGAAAATTATATACCACAATGACTGGGACTTCATGACATTACTCTCTTAACACTTAAAACATAAATCTCAATGTAATTGAATATTACTATACATGTGTATAATACAGCAAAGGCTTGGCTTTTTTTTTTGTAATCTTCGAGTGTGGTATCAGAGGTGCTTTTTCACGGATATTGGCTGTATGAAGAAGTTTGCTTCCTTTAACAATATTGCCCAGTCTCAGCTGGGTGTACTCTTACACATGCGAAAATAAATATTGCTCAGTTCTAAGAGATCCTTATTCTGGGCTAAGATGTGATGATCTAGCTTTGTCTGTGTAGTTAGATCATGAACTCCCAGGTCAATACATTGCCAAGAACAGCTCTGCTGCCCCGTAAGTTCTACCAATACTACTTATAAGACCTACCTACTGCCAATCAGGGTAACGCCAAAAAAAGCAGCAAGATCAAGAAATTACGTGGACCTCAGTATTATTAACAGCTCTTACACACGTACTTGAAATGCTGTGAGTGTTGTATAATATTGGCTATGACTTGTAACACAGAAGTGCCAGAGGACCCCAACAGAATCTAGGCTACAATATGCAGCTAGACACTTATTGCACACACAGAAAGATAAGGTACCTGCCACAATCAGCTTACAGCCTAACTGCAGACAGTGTATGAGTCAGTAATAAACAAACAGGAGAGAGATAAGGAGGAAGGACAAGGTTAAAAGCAAGCAGACCATGCAGTTCCACATGGAATCAAGTTCATTCCTGCTGTTAGAGATATGCCAGATAGAGAACCCACAAGTGCTGCTTTTAAGAAATACATTTCTAATTTCACTGAGCTCTTCCAAAACAGTCTCTTTATCTAGTGGGGGAGAAGACAGAGAGAGAACAAGAGAGTAAGAGCAAATGAGTGGGTGAGCAAGCTTTATCCCCCCAGCCTTTGGTTAAATGAGATTCTCAAGAATATCTTTATCTTGCTAATATTTTCAAGAATTCTTCTGCAAGTGGATAGCTGAGGTAGCCCCTACTAAACAGCCACTGTCCCCAAAAGTTCACATTCTAGGATTATGACACAATGCAAAAATTGACAAACTGACAAAACGGAAGTGCAGGCAAGTTAAAATAGCAGTAAAGGCAACCACATTTTTTTGTGAGCAAGTCATTTCTGCGGGCAGTCCCGGGCTGACCATCTAGTTGCAATATTTACAGTAATATAAACTTTAATTCTGACTCCTTTGGATACTGTCCTACTACTGGTATGAAGAAGTGGGTTACAGGCTCTGGAAGAACTTTTATTGGAACTTTCTGACTCTTTCACATGAGCTCTTTCTTTTTTAAAGCAGCTGGATTTTCTCTGCTAACTCAGAACTCATCTACGAAACAAAATCTTTCTTTTACTGCAGTTCCATTTCAGGTTCACAGCTTAGACTGATGGTATAAGAGGATACTAAACACAGAGAATTTGGGAAAGATAAGGAAACAGCCATTTCTCTTAATTATTCCTTTTCCTGTTGTGCCTAGACAAATTCCTTTAATGCCAGCACTCACCTGTATGTTTTATGTAGTTCCATAACTTTGTCTTCAAGTTCTTTTGTCTGGTTTTGGGCCAGTTTAAACTCACTGGCATAATCTGCACTATGTAGCTCTGGATCATAATCTCCCAGCTCAGATTGGACTGTGTAAGAACCTAGCAGGGCCAACGTTGCAAAGGAACAAGGCAACCGCCCTGTCACAATGTCTTGTCTAAGCTGAAGACACAAATAATACCTATAGAAAAAGAAGAAAATATGATTTACCAGAGAAGGCATGGAAAACAAAAACCTCATAGCTTTTTTGAGCTCAAGCTCCCAAAGATGAAGGCCACTGTTAAGTGTTGACTGATATGGAGCTTTGCTGGTTTTAGTTTGCAAGGAATAAAAAAGTTAATGTGCACCCTTCAGTCAAAGGATAAAGACCATAGCTGTAGTAGCCTGAATAGATAAATGAGGTAAAAGACACCTCTCCCTCCAAACAGAGCAGAGGATGCATCTGACCACTGCAACCAGACTTTGTTCCAGACTTTAACAAGTATGTATTTTATGCTTATACATGTTCCACCACAACACTGTTCCACCACCACATTTAACTAGCCTTGCTCATGTAGTCTTCAGCACAAAATGAACAGCAACAACAAAAGGAAGAACCCCACAACTGGATCTTCACATTTAGCTACAGTGTTCAAATAGTTTGCTCTCTTAGTGCTTTCTAAAAGCTCCCAACATACATATTAAGTAAGCCAATTACTCATTTAGCAAAATTAATAGGCAATGGTATCTGTCTTTACCTTGTTATATCTTCTGTCAGTTGTGCTGGGTCTGGTGGATAAAACTTCACACTGAATGTAAAGTCCCAGGGACCTCCTGTAATTAGAAGCAAACCAGTTTTGAAAAATAAAAAGCTTCACAATACTCAAGTCTTATGAAAGTTCTGAATATCTACTTGGGCTTTCCAAGTAAAGCAAACCATGCAACTTTCAATGTTTTTAATACTGTCTACTAAATTAATCATTGGCTGCAAGAACACTGCTTTTGTAGCAGTGGTAAAATCCCCAATTTGCTCTCACTTATGTAACTTAGGTTTCAACCACTTCCCCTAAGAAAGCAGGTAAGCAGACCAGAGTAAAGATAAGACCATTCATGTGAAAGACATCATAGATAATATTAAATTCTGAATTCATTTGCTTTAGGACCTTTTTCTCATAAAACACTTTATTACCTCTATAAAAAAAAAAGGAGGCAGCAATGAGGTATGAACAGAGATCAAATAGTAGTGCAGTTAATGAGTTAATATTTCACTACTAAACATTCAAGTTTCCTACCTCCCTTGGGGAGAGGCATGCTTAGTGCCTTCAGCTACCTAATAAGAGTTTGGCCCACACAACACAAACATCATATAAATTCAGTACAAATTCCAGTCTCTAACAAACACCCACAGCTAGGACAGCAAGGGTTTTGCAGGTGAAGACTAAAATGCTTTAATATAGATGTGCTATGAAGCTTATGGTAGCACCTTCCAACAGAACTTACTCCTGATTTCTATAGCCACTGTAATTGTATTTAAAATGTACGATCAGCCACTATTAAGCAACCTACCATGAGTAATGATACAAAACTAAACATTCATACAAAAATACAGCCCACCATGATGTAACGGAGCATACAGGTACATTTTTAAATTGAAAATAACAAATGCTGATGTACATATTAATGTAACAGTATAATTATGATGCTACATATAAGTAAGATGCTAAAGTTGAAACTAATTGCACCATTATTCTGTCTTTAGAAAGAATAAAAGCCACTATGCCTTCTGGTACCTGAAAATGTTTTCATGTGTTGAAAATGAAGACACCTTTTTTTCTTGGAGATGACAGTCACTTTTACCTTCAGATAACTGACCAGAGCAGAGGCATGGAATATACTAGGAGTAATTTCTAAAGTTTCTAAAAAAAAACCTAATAAAAATAGAACTATTTTATTCTGTACCATATACCCTGTTAGGTTAAAATGATATTTAAAATCAAGGAAACAAAGCTCACTGTTTGACTTCCTAAGAGATTTAATAAACCTTAAATAGAGAAGGAAGCCACAAAAAAAAAAAAAA